GAGAGAGAGAGAGAGAGAGAGAGAGAGAGAGAGAGACGTCTTTTAAACATATAAATTGGTACATCCTCGTAAATTGTTAATATAGGTTCATGGAATTGACTCTGGCGATAATTTCAAGTTTAATATAAAATTGATATACTCGAAGAAATTTTCATTGCATAATTACAAGAAAAAATTTTAACAATGTTTATCGAATTTTTGGCATATACATGTATATATATTAATTAAAATTGAATTGAAAAATGAGTATTTTAAAAATTAACACAGAGACAAAAAATAAGCAAACCGTCTACATAAATGGATATAGCGAGAATCTCATTGCTATTCCTCTACAAAGAGGCGTACCTTTTAAGTATCGCCACTCAACAAAATGAGAGTAATTAATTAGAAATGATATTGCTCCGTAGAAGAAGACAGGGGCAGAAGGGAAAGCCAGCGGTGCGGATGGCCCCTGTTTCGCCTCGAAACCTCTGAGTAACTGTATTTTTTGTTTTTTTCGATGCCCAACTTCAATTTTAACGAATTATACCGTCCCACTGCCAGTAATAAGGGATATCATTTTTCACGTTTTTAGCCTTTTACTTGTTAGGACGATGGGGATGCTGCAATAGGAATACACCCAGTCTTTATCGGTTGCTTATCGGGTACTTGAAAATTTTAAGACTCTCTTTCTTATATTCACTTAGGTCATTTTCCTGCAGGAAGCAATCGAATTATTTAAGATATAAGTAAAATAAATGTTTACTTTTATTTTATGTCTTTTCGTCTTTTGCTCTTTGTGTTATTAAATGCAAAAAAACTTCATAACGAACTTCAAACCTCAAATTCAAAGACTTGCCAGGTAATCGCTGTTACACGTAATCACATTTACCTCTTGATAATCCAATTCTCTCGTTGCGCCCATTTCCAGTCTCAACGTTTATCTTCTTCTTCTTCTTCTTCTTCTTACAGTCTCGATTCAACGTGCTATTAACTCCAGAATGCTTTTCTCATTCAGAAGATGCATCTACTTCGCATAGAAATGAAAAATGAAATACCCACTCCCCGAGTGTCTTGTAAGACAATAATGATTTCCCTCGGAAGTTGTCAAACGAAAAAATCAAATCGCTCCTTCGTCTACTGACGCATACTTTTCTTTATCTCTTTTCAGGTTGCGAATTTCCAAGTCACTGGCGAGGCAGCTGGTTCCAGTCTGGTGTCCCAGGACTGGTTACCATTAATGGATCCATAATCACGAACAAAGGTCAATGCGTCGCAGTCGGTGACGGCGATAAGTTCCTCGTACAAGATCAGTGAGTCTTAATTAATTAAATTACAAGTAGCAAACTAAATCCTAAACCCATCTGTCAACTGTTACATTTACTAATCAAGTACCGAGTAATAGGGTTTCCGAATAGCTGCACCATACACTATGTATAGAGACCATTATTACGAACCAGGATAACAGTTTGGACGTAAAACGAGCCGAAACGACGAGGATTTCGCGTTGTCCCGTGGCTGTGAGCTAATTTCGTTGCGAATGAATTTCACGTCATAACTGCTTGTTCGATCAATTTGCGTTAACATGCGCGCGTATATCCTAATGGATAGCAGAGGAGTCGTTCTATTTGTCGGTAGGATCGTAGCTACTATTGGAATGGAATTTTAGGGAGGACCGTTACAACGTACTCGAATTTGAGGAATAACAATTCTCATGGTTTTCATTTAAAAGTAAATATGACGCGAGTACAGTGGCCCCGCTGTTCAATAGCACTTGGAAATATTTAACAGTATACAATTTCACTGTGAACGAGTACAGCTGTTACTCTTGGACAATATTTTTACAACGTTTCGATCGTTTCTTCGTTTTCCAGTGCGCCAGTCTAGGTAGGATGCTGTATACAAATATAATTTAATGATAGAATTACGAAATGGCTTATAGGATTTATCGAGAGCATATCTCTAGAGGCAAAGTTCACGTGAGATTCTTATTTGTCAAATGTCGTTATCCTCTCGAGTTGCAACTCCGAACGTGATAACAGGATACCGACACCATTGAGACACGAAAGAGGTCCAATGCCTGGAAATTGACAGTCGTAAGTGCGTAACACCCCTCCATTTGGTTCGTACTACGCACTCGCATTATCGTTGAATTAAATTTCGAGAAATCTCACACAACTGTATTACGCCTGTCACCTTTCGTCATTCAATGTGAATTCAATCGTCGACGTCAATCGATTCTCATTGGATTAGCCTAGCTACTGGAAACATTTAGACCGCAACGTCAACCGACAAACGAGAGTAGGAAACGCTGAAATCTAAAGAGTTGATTGCGATGCTGATGGCGCTAGTAGAGCAGAACGAGGTACAGATGGCGTACGTACCTCGAGGACGCCGTCGAGTAGGAGACCAATTCGTTTGGAAGTGGCTCTTGAACGCCAGCGCCACGCAATCTACAAAGTTTTACATGAAAATAGGGCGACTGTGAGATCATGAAACCTCTTAACCTCAAACTTCAAATCTCGTTTCCCCTATCTGTGCTTCGCATTATTCTATGGCGCTAGACGGCCTGGATAACATTTTGGTAACCTGTCTCGCTTTGAGTACAGCCTGCTGATAATGTGGGAGAGAGAGAGATATAGATATAGATATAGATATATATATATATAGAGAGAGAGAGAGAGAGAGAGAGAGACAGAGAGAAAGAAAGAGAGACATCTCTATATATTCTTTCTCTCTCTTTCATATAGAGAGAGATACTCTTCTAGAGGGAACCACACGTGTTATACAAAATTCTTGGTAATATTAAATATTGACCGAATAGCTCGTAAAACGGCAAAATTATATGAGAATATATATATATATATATATATATATATATATATTCTATATATTATAGACTCTCGCCTCTCCATTTCTGTTCTTTCTATTTGAACGTGAAGGAACTAGCTACTTTTTTTTTCCCCATAGAAATGACACGATATGGTAATTTGTCCCGGTTTTTGTTGGTATGACAGTTGAATAAAAAATTGTAAATCGTCTTTTTCTTTTTCACGACGCGTAACGCACTTCCGTAACCGAGTCAAGGGTGGGAGGACGTATTACTATGTATAGTAGAATTCATCGAGATTCCCCGGGCGTGTGATATTTTCAATTTTCCAGCAAAAAATTATCATACATATTATCCAGCATCTTCATCCCATTTCACTCGACTTCGTTTTTACGATAATTACGTTTCCCTTTTGATAATTTCCAATGTTACAATCGCACAATAATCAATGTACAATTGATCGACTATTTCCTATGACGAGAGGGGGTGAGGGAGAGGTAGAGGGAGAGAGGGAGAGGGGGTGAGGGAGAGGGAGAGGGAGAGGGGGGGAGGGAGAGGGGGAGAGGGAGAGAGAGGGGAAGAGAGGGGGAGAGGGGGGAGGGGGAGAGAGAGAGTGGGATAAATAAAGATAAAGATAGAAAATGGCCAAGTGACAAGGAGCAAGAGAGAAACGGAACACCGAGTATGTATACAGAGGAATGAATTTCAGGTACCTGGTGGAAGGGATAAGGGAAAACAGAGTGCGAGTAAGAGAGTGCGAGCGAAGATGTGACAGTGAGGAGCGTTGCAGGGAAGACGAGGAACCGAGGCGAGTTGAGAGCTAAGTTTTAATTAATGTAATGGAGAGTGGTGCGTGATTAGCCTCCCAATCAGCAACTCCTCCTTGCGCAGGCGGAGACGACGACGGCAGCCGAGGGAAGTGGATTCAGTCGGAGTAAGAGAGCAAGATAACGATTCAACTGATCCAAGGGACGATAAGGGAAATGGGGGGAGGAGAGAGAGAGAGAGAGAGAGAGAGAGAGAGAGAGAGAGAGAGAGAGAGCGGAAGAACGATAGCGAGCGCAGATGCAAGGGAAGAAGGATGGAAAGAGGCGTCATGGATTACGTTACTATCTCGAATGCAAATCGACTAACGTTCGCTGTGGAGTTTCTTAGTCTGTTTCTCAATTTAGTAGACGCTCTCTAGTAGCAACTTTCTATTATTATTGCTGTCGCTAATATCATTGATCACTGCCACGTCAGAGCATAATGTTTGTAGGTACTTGGTTCCTAGACACAGAAAAATTATTGTTACAAGAATTGTTAAAATTTTAACGAAAATTTGTAGTGACAATTTTTAGGAAAATTTTGACAAAATTTCATGTGGCCGCAAACGATGTGATAGGTTACTTCTGTTAAATTAGAAAAAAAAATTGTTATCTTTAACTACAATTTATTACTGTACGAATATTGATCGTTGGTCTGGTAATCGCTGCTATATATATATATATTCTGTCTATGTACGATACGGTAGTTGAACCCGTACTTAGCTATGATTAGTTTATATGAATATGAATTTTTGGAATAAAAAAGTCGGGGGGGGGGGTACGTACCCACCGACCTAGCTCGTGAAATTGGTTTACGTCGGTTAATGGAAATAATATGGCTGTAGACGAGGATTTCGTTATGCGATTAACCATTCTCGGCTATTAGACCGTTTCACGGGAGAGTAGATTTAATTGGGAATTTTATGGTCCACTGATTAAAAGACGCTCCGGGATAAGTGTACAACAAGTACAACGATATGAGTTGGTATATAGAGACATAGAGACTCGGATATTTGACAATTTTCATCGTCCTCGTCTTGGTTATAAAAATGACGATTTTCATATAATCCGCTAATTAAAATATGCGATCGTTAGGTAAACGCAAACACATATCTCGTGGCCTTTACTGGATATATATATGTATATCTATACAGAGTTAAGGGGGAGATATTATTTTCATTAAAATCACTGTATGGCCAGTAGCCAGGACTACGTCGTCTGGCTTGATCGTTAATGAAATATCATCGTTAATGTTACGTATAAGCACTGTGGCCTCCATGTGGTGTCGTTATACTTATATGTATATCCAGTAGAGTAGATGCAGGATATCCTTCGTAATAGAATGGATAAAATTGGACGTCCGGCAATCCCCGTTGGACAGCCCTTCCTTTTCATTGGTCTCATCGATCACGCGTGGCAAAAGGGGTAGGTACCTACTGTTCACCCGATGTCATTTCTCCTGTCAGAAAAAAAGTTATATTGCCTTTGCGTCCAGAGCGATGTGCTCATACATTGCCAGCATATGAATAATATGATATCGAGGCACGAGATTTCTACGTTATAGTCTTTCTCAATTTCATCACCCTCTCGCCGCCCTTGAATCACGCGTGTATACGTATGTCTATATATACATACGTATACACATGTATTCATCCGTATATATGTATATATATATATCAATAACATATACTCTTCATCCCCTTCCAATATCCTACGGAGTATTCACTGATTGGATTTGAATTGGAGGTGAAGTTTATATTTCTGCAATGGCCGATGCATAACTTCTCAACATTATATCTGAAAACCTATAAAATGTTACTGGGGTCACAATGTTATTCAAACCTTTTTTTTCGTTAACGCTTAACACCCACGGTACATCCCTTAGCCAATCTATTCTAAATAGATCGATTCGGTCGGTCACGTGCAACCAAGAGAATATTAGAAATACATTTGGAGTGGCATAAGACTGAAAATATTTCGTGGTAATTTTGTACAAGGGAAAGGCTCTAGGTTAAATTTTTTTAAAAAGACAATTCCATCCTGTCGGTATAAAATTTTAATGTTACTTGAAACACCATCCTTGAGTTGCTTCTATATGGGTGGTGGCTACTTTGGAGAATGTTTGTCCAACATACCTGCAGGCATTGCCCGCACCCACGTAGCGACCGTTGAACATGAATAAGTAAAGGACCACTCACAAAGGTCGATGGGTGAGCACAGTGGTCAGGTCATGCCGCGAAAACTTATCCAATCAATCAGCCGGATGATCAAGCTCCCGTTGATCGGTGTAATCCATCAAGATATATCCTGATACCGGAGGTAGACCAAGAAGAAGAAAGTTATTCGCCGTCACGCTGTTTTCTCGAGTTATATTGCTAATTATTTTTCTGCTAACCGAAGATGAGGGAGGGGTTACAGTCTCGGGAGGGGCGAAGGGAGGAGGTACAGGAAAGCTCCTGAAATCGTTGAGTAAATCCACGGAAACGTGACGTGTAATTCGTTCTTTAAATTGCCTTTGACTTTTGGCCGTTGCTCTTGGGAGCAATTTTTTTCCCTTCAAATTATCAAAGTATCATTGGACTTAGACATTGAAATCCTTCGACTATATAGCTTATGGAGTTGATTTCTATGGTGTATCGGACTTTAATCTTCAAGACGGATAGTTATTTAAGATAGC